TTATATGATTTTCATAATTTCATGAAATATTACAAATTATGGAATTAACGAATTTTATAACATAATTGTAACAATATTAATATGCATTTTTTTACCAAACTTATTCCAGATAAACTGAATCTAGTTCTAATTTCTAATATAAAAATAATGATAATACAAAAATATTTGTATTATATTGATATATGTAAACTTTTTATTTCATGCTTTTTGTTAACATAGTAATATTTTGCATTATTTGGAAAGTTGGTGAACTGTAAGTTATTTTGGGATATCGCCATTAAGTAGATTAAAAACCTTATTTCAAAATATTTCAATAAGCAAGCATGAAAATATTTTGAAATAATGTTTTTAATCTACTTAATGGAGATATCCCAAAATTACTTACAGTTCACCAACTTTCCAAATAACGCAAAATATTACTATGTTAACATACTTTATGACCCTAGCAAAACTTGTTCCTAGCATCCTAAAAAATATTCATACAAATTTTCGTGACTTTTGGATAAATCCGCCCGAATATCTACAAAAAACGTGAAAAAACACGTCATACCATTACTTTACTTTCCGCCGGAACTGTATCATTATGTAACATGTATCAGTATGATTATTAATCGCAACAATATCAACAAAAAAGAAGCAAAATTCTTTATTGCATTGTTCCAAAAAATATAATTTTAATATTGTTTCTTGACAAATTCCTCGCGCCCTAGACAAATCGAGTCAAATATCAACGCGCCGGATGTTATTTTTCCACGACATAATTTTTTCGCACGAGAGCCACCACAAACAGCAGTCATTGAGCGCTATCAATATCAACAAATTTCGGAAAGGTCTCAGGAATCACTTGATCACCATCCAATAATCCTTCCACTGCCAACTATTCATGCGCTCACCTTTTCGCACACTAGCACACCATCATCGCGATTCGCTTTATCCTCTCATCATCAAAATCTTCATCATTTCCCGCACGTGAACATCATCGCTCTTACAGTCGCATCAACTTGAAAACTATCGAAGAAAAAAATGCGTATCGTCTCGAGCGTAATCGCATTGCGGCACTAATGGGCCACAGGAGGTTCTCTAGTATCATGAAACCAGAAGCTGGTCCGAGTAAAAGCAACAACATCGAAACAACCATCATCAGAATAACGAGATTCCTATGAATACAGATAGCGGCGGCGGCGCTGCTATCACGGATAATAAATGAAGACTTGCACTTGGACGTATTGGGAATCAAGAGATGACATATCAAAAAGTAAATTCAATAAACCATTTCATCACATTAAGTTTCCTTTGAAAATGAATAGAAAAATCGAAACATTTTTAGAATTTCAGTTAACGCAAGCAATCACCAAAATGGCAAAATGGCCACCACCACAAATTTATCATTCTGATCCTGTATCACAGCCAATCACGATAATAATAACGGTAACGATATACCGTCATCCCCAAAGGATGAAATAAAAACTACACGCAATATCATCCTCCTCGAAATTTCCCAGTTACTCTAAATGGTATCAAAGAAGTCGACCAGGCCGGGCAAACGCGAGAAATGTAATTTACTACGATAATGGTTGACACGTGAATTCCGTGCACATCTGCCGGAGTTGTTGAGTAAAATAATTCATCCATACCTCCTAAGCTACCCTCAAAGCTCAACTACTACAAAAAGGAATCAATCCTCCTACAACCGTAATATGGTAGCCAAACTTCATGTTCCCCGAACCAAAAACTTGTTCTGTCATAATCCCGTCTTCGTTAGAAAAGCCAAAGATTTCTCATCCAAAATCCATTCGGCAACCTCTTCCGAATCACTTGTTTAAAGGTCTTATGAGGATTTAAAGAACTATCATCGGCTACATCACTTAAAAAACCTAATTTCCAGCTTCCTTAAAAAAGAAGGATCAATAATTAACACGAAGCTTGCGCTGATTGACTACAACCGCCAAAGCGTCTTTACCTACAACAACGGAAATGTCTACAACGCTTCTATCAACAACTTTTAAAATTTCTGGCTTGGTTGTCGACATTTTTGCCGCCTTCTGGCTTTGAACCAAAGCATCAAGTACGTAAGCATTCTTGCGCCACTAATGACTACCGAACTGCTTGGCCAGGCAACTTTGGCTGCACACTACAAACGACGCTTAAGACTTGATGATAACGTCACCAAAAAAGGTGTCGTTTACGAGTTGGAGCAATTGATTCATGGACGACCGGAAATTCATGTCTATAAGTATGTGAGATCGTATTGACCAGTCGTACGTCGATTACGAATCTTGAGGTGTTGCATGCGATCAAAAAGTGGATTAAAGCGGAGATTTTTAGGGTGAGTCTCAAGAGGATTTTTGGTTTGATTAAGTTTTAGAATTATTTGTGCTTCACCATTAGCGTTTAATTTTTACGGTATCGTGATTAGCTGTGATACAGGATCAGGATGATAAATTTGTGGTGGTGATTGTTGTTCCCTCCATACGTTTTACTGGCTCCATATAATGGTTATATTCATCTTCCGCCTCATCAGATAAGCGCCGTATAATTTTCGAATCACTACTAATTACTTGACTTGCTTCTGGGTCTCTCCACGTAAGATTGGAAGGTTTAATTTTTTTAAGATATTT